ACGAAACAATAAAGGAACGCAAGACTTCATACTGGAGAGCACCTATTGTCGGTTTTGGCGGTAAACAAACAGGCGGTAAACCCGTTCAAAAGGTAAGTTCGGACAAGCCCGAAGTTCTGGGAAGCCTTGCGGAAACCGACCCGGCAATCCTCGCAGTACAAGATGAGTGCTTTCCAAATTATCAATCTCTTGCTCAAATCCTTCTTCAGTCTTAAATAATAATAATAATAATCTCAGGACAATTCACACAGCGCCATCTAGACCCAAGTTAAGCTAGCTAAAGCTTGTGTTATGGGTCCTACATCTAACTACATCAATCAGAATTTATACATTTATTCGGACAGTCAAGCTGCTCTACTAGCACTTAACTCGTACGAAATTCGTTCTAAACTTATTAGAAACTGTATCCTGCTACTAAATGAAGTAGGAAGCAGAAATAATATTACACTGAGATGGGTCCCCGGGCACTCAAATATTGAAGGCAATGAGAATGCCGACCATCTGGCAAAGTTAGGGGCAAAAACCGTCCAACTGGGCCCCGAACCCTTCTGTGGTGTGTCTCGTTGCCTAAAACTGGGACATCTCAAATTAATAACCAAACGAGAAGCACTGAATCACTGGCAAGAAATGCCAGGATTAATACATTCAAAAGACCTAATATCGGGCTTCTCGACCAAATACTCCAATAGATTACTGCTATTGAGTAAAAACAACATATGCATGATGACTAGGGCCCTCACAGGACACTGCAAATTGAACAAGCATATGGCTAAGCTAGGCCTATGCACGACAAGTATCTGCAGATTCTGCCAAACTGAAGAGGAAACGCCGCTTCACATCCTATGTGGTTGCATATACTCATGCATAAACGAAATATCTCCTTTGGAAAGTTTACACTCTTTCCCGAGGAGATAAAAACGATCGCTCCTAAGAATATCCTTCAATTCTTGTCCCTGACGGGTCTAGGTAGCGAACTCTGAAAAGGGCGAGCACAATAGATCTATGTAGGTCGCAGTGCTTCAGGTGCTACACATCTGACAATAGCCCAAACAACCCAATAAAAAAAAAATATGGGTCCTAGACAACTGATACAAATACACAGATAATTTTTTTTTTCGTAAATACATACATATTATACATAGAAAATACCCAGACCGATACAAACAATCATACTCATGAATACAAATGTTTGTGCCGTGCGAGGAATCGAACCCGCGACCATCGGTCGTAAAGCGGTATGCTAGACCGCTAGACCACCGAGGACGTCTGTCCAGAATACAGTCCACTAAAGACAGCTGTATTGAAAATTATTTGTCAGTTGTTTTCATAACAATCAGAATATCGTATAGGCTATATTTTTTATTGAAATTAACGTGGGTGAAACCGCGGGCGCTGCTAGTATTTTCATTTCATAATTTAAGAGCTGTGCTCTTGTCGGTGGAGCTCCCGCCACCTTCCACGATCTTCCATCAGTCCTTTTAGCTGTTGATACGACACGACTCCAACTTTTTCTTTAACCTGCTTGATATAGCTGTGTCTTGGTCTTCCCCTTCCTCTCTTTCCATCTATTTTTCCTTCTATAATGTTGTTAATTAGTACGTTGTGTCGTATCAAGTGCCCCAACATTTTTCCCCGCCTATTCTCAATAATATCTATGATCTGTCTCTTTTCTTTAATCCTCTCAAGCACTTCTTCATTCCTTATTTTATCTTTCCAGCTAATTCTTTCCATTCTTCTCCAACACCAGTTTCACCACCGTACCACCCGCCAGAAACTGAAATACCATCCTGATCATCTGGATGAATGGCGGTCTTCCACAGTACGGTTTTTTAGAAACTTTTTGCCTCGCACAACCACATTGTAGAATCACCTTCCAGCAATGGTATTTCCGAACCGATACGATATTGAAACCTTCAAGAAAAAGCTTATTCCTTTTTAAAAGGCCGACAACGTACTTGCAATTCCCCTGGTGTTGCGGGTGCTCATGGGCGGCGGTAATCACTTACCATCAGGTGAGCCGCATGCTCGTTTGTCCCCTGTGTTATAAAAAAAAAAAACACTACATTTCAAAGGCTTCCAGTTTGTCTCTTTCCTTTTGTGTCAATGTCCACGTCTCACAGGCATACAAGGCTATACTCCAGATGTAGGTCTTGATAAGTTGTTGTTTGCTAGTATACAATATTTAAATAAGAATTGTATATTGTTAATTCAATGTTTCGTAACTTTCAATAAGTCCTAAGTATTGTAGTGGGTGCCGTTATGTTGTGACAGAGTGGTAATAGTGTTTATCTGCGTGCTTGTTTGCAGGCATGCGTGCATGTGCGGAGCGTGGCGAAGCGCGGTCGCCCGCAGCCGACCGAACAGGAGCAAGCAGTGCCAGTATAGTCCAAAAAAAAATACAAATTAATAATAATAATAATCATCAGGCTGTACTGGGACCGATCCATCATCACGGACAGGACCGTTCTCGCAAACCTGATATCAAATTCAAATTCAAAAAAATATTTATTCATGTAGGTCTGTAACAGACACTTATGACAAGTCTAATTATAATAATATATATTGTATATACGAGATAGTGTAACAATTACACTACTACTTAGAGAACATATTAATATAATAACTTATACATCCAGGAACAAATCTTAGCCTAGTTTTACATCACAATATCGTGGTGATTGATCGGGCACTCTCTGGTGATTTTGGTCACCATACCGCATGACGAGAACCTCGTGAAAGCCGAAACTGAGAAAGAATAGAATAGAATAGAAAATCATTTATTCAAATAAACTTAATTTAAGCACTTTTGAATAGTCATAACAATTTGTTTTTTATCTACCACTCGTTAAAAAAAAAACAAACTAGAAAAAGAGAAAACATCTCGCCCTGGCTCACGAGGTGACCGAAATGTGGGGGTGATGTCCACCGAAATCATTCCAATCGTTATTTGTTGGTGTATGTTCATAATTCAAAAAAATTCAAAATATATTTATTCATGTAGGTCTATTACAGACTCTTATGATATGTCAAATCTACCGTCAGTTCGGAATGATATCGAGATGAGAAGAACTGACAAGAAACTCAGCTCGTACTTTTTCAAATAATAGTGGAACATGTTTATAATAAATATAGTTTTTAAAATTCAAATTTGGGAGAATAGAGTGACCACCAGCATATGCTATCGCAAAGAACAAAAAATTTAATCAGTGTTCACAACCTGAACAGACCAGTCCCCACAAGTAGCACCCGTTCACGAGTATGACGTATGAGCCAGCCATCATTGTACTCAACCATATTTGAGGAAGCACATCGACTCGGCCCACCACGCCGCCACAAGTTTGAACTTTATAGCGACCATGACTGTTTCAGATTACTCCACTACGTCAATTATATTATTTACAGCATAGGCTGTACCGATCACAGTTTTCACCCATTACAATATTAAATTTACATTATTTAAATTACTTAAATTACTTATATTCATATGCATGTAATAAAAAACGATTATTTCAATATTACAAACAGACACCAATTTTATTTATATGTATAGATTAGTAGGGCTGGTTGGATGCGTCGGTGTTATTTTAGTCCTTGCGAATGTCTCTGGGCAATTCTATATTTCTTTTTTGTTTTATTCTGTTTTTTAGTGATTTTTGTAGAAAAAGAATTAAAAATGTGGCTATTTACGAAGGTACCTACAAGTGAGGACGCCGCGCCGTTTAATAAGCTACATATGTAGAGTACTAAGAGCAACAGTAGCTCTGCAACACGTGTCGGGAACATTCGTCGTGTGACAGTGGTACGTAGGGCTGGCTCTAACCAACATGCTACAGAGTCACGAGAATTAGTATATTACTAAAGTCTAGCTAGTAGGGGTAGGGCCCTACCAGCTAGACTGCAACCCCCCTGCAATAAAATTAAATTAAAAAAGAAATGTTATGACTATTCAAAAGTGCTTCAATGTAAGTTTTTTTGAATAAATGATTTTCTATTCTATTCTATTCTATTCTAATAGCATAGCAATGTACTATAGGGAAGTTTCAGAAATGATACATATATAACAGTACTCGATTTTTTTTTTTATTTATTTAATAAAGATAATAGTACAGTTGTTTTTATACATTGACTCGCCAAACTGTAGAACAGTTTGTTGGCAATATATCGCTCAGTTTTTTTTTAATACTATTCTTCCCATAAACTTCTATCCACATAAATACACGTTTTTACAGATAATTACATACAATTACAATTTTTGTTTTTAAAGTCTATCTAAAAATGCTCTTTATAATTTTGATTTCAGTACTGGTCTACTTAAATTAGAATTATTAATTAGATAACTGATACATATATACACATAGATTTTTTTTTCTAAATACATACATATTATACATAGAAAACACCCAGACCGATACAAACAATCATACTCATGAATACAAATGTTTGTGCCGTGCGAGGAATCGAACCCGCGACCATCGGTTGTAAAGCGGTGTACTAGACCGCTAGACGACCGAGGTTGTCAATTGAGTTTCTCACCAGATGTTCTCCATTGTTTCAATTACTGAATTAAACGGTAGGAAAAATATTAAGTATACACTTGACGTTCTGAAGCGACTAAAATATTCTGTATGACTATATGAAATTTTTATTTTATTCTACAAATATTTTACAACCTAATTACAATTAAATTAAATACTTTACTCTTCAGCGTGACAATGCAGATATTTATTAAGTACAGACATAAGTTTGCCATACGTTTATTCATATATATATACATATACATACGTTATGTTAATTATAGTAATAAATATAAAATATATTAATACATACAATAGACATACACATATTAATGAGGCTTTATGTAATTAAAAATGACGCTTCTGGTTTACGAATAAATACCTAACACTATCACTAACTATAAGCATGATCATCAACTTAATCTTAATAGGTATAATTAGTAAATCACGGGATTTTACCACGTTTTCTTATATATATATATATATATATACATATACATACGTTATGTTAATTATAGAAAATGATTAATTTCAAGTCTTTCAACATGGTGACAACCCTGTTCAGTGAGTTGTGGGAATGTCGGCGTGTTTGTTTGATAGTGACACCACCGCTTGATCTGCCAAGGGCCGCGAGGAGACGCGAGGAGACACGAGGAGACACGAGGAGACACTGTAATTTAACCCAATTCAGTTTGTTACAATTTGTCGGCTTTTTGTTTTTATTATAGAGATCTAGTTAGTTATATTTTTAACTAGCTGACTCGCTTTTCGTCTGCATCACACTTACTCAATTTACATTATATATTTTTTAATTAATGTTTTAACAAAATAAAAAAATAATAGTTTTGCGTGAAAGAGTAACAAACATCCATCCATACAAACTTTCGTGTTTAAATATTATTAAAATGAAGTTTGACGCGATCATTATTTATAAGTATAATTAGTAAATCACTGGATCTTACCACGTTTTATATTTATCGCGTTCCCGATATTAATAGTAGCAACAAACGAAGACGTGTGAAGGTAGACGAATATGTCTGTCCGTAAAAGATTTATTTACCATCTACCAGCTGCTCTTCAGTTTACGTGATCATGGTGGTTGAAACACTGCCGAAATATCGGGAACTCGACAAAAAGAAAACGTGGTAAAATCCCGTGATTTACTAATTATACCTATTAAGATTAAGTTGATGATTATGCTTATAGTTAGTGATAGTGTTAGGTATTTATTCGTAAACCAGAAGCGTCATTTTAAATCTAGACTAAAGTACGATTATAAATTCCAGTCAGTAAAATGACAAGTGCAACTGTCACTGATACAAAAAAGGGGTGACCCGCTACAATAGTGATGTTCCGCAATCAATAGACTTAGACGTTTAGTCATGCTTTATTTTATTACGTATATAGACCTTTTTTTTAATGTTAAATAATTAATACATACCGTATTAAACAATACGATTTTAGAAATATGGACCTTACCAGCATATTAAAATTTCTCACTACAACATTATTACAAAAGCTGGGAAAAAACGTAAAAAGATATTCAGAGGAATTAATACTAGAATTTTTATTTATATAAAGGCAATTTGATATTGAAAAAAAAAAAATGTAATCTCGACTAACTTTTAATTGTAAAAACTCGATTCTATCACATCACTATTTATGTGGGACTAAAAACCTGCAACACTGGAAATGTCATTTTACTGACTGGAATTAATAATCTTACTTTAGATAATATTATGAAGATAACTCTTTGGATTTGAATATTTGTTTGTATTGGATAAACTAATAAAAAATAATATGACTACTTTTTTAATTCCATTAACGATACTATATTGATTTAGTTTACATAATCTAAATATATATAATTCAAAGGTGACTGACATAGTGATCTATCAACGCACAGCCCAAACCACTGGACGGATCGGGCTGAAATTTGGCATGCAGGTAGATGTTATGACGTAGGCATCCGCTAAGAAAGGATTTTGATTAATTCTATCCCCAAGGGGATAAAATAGGGGATGAAACTTGATCAATTTTAAACCGATCGTGGTGAGACTTTGCATGCATAAAGCTACTATGACGTAGGCATCCCCTAAGAAAGGATTTTGATAAATTCCACCCTTAAGGTGATATATTAACGCGAGCGAAACCGCGGCAAAAGCTAGTATATATATATTTTGTTATTCACTATCTTCGCACGGGTACACATATATTACACATACATATATTATACACATAAACCTTCCTCTTGAATCGTTCTATCTATTAAAAACTGCTAAAACTGGATTAAAATCCATTGCGTAGTTTAAAAGATGTAAGCCAACATACAGCGGAAGTGACTTCATTTTATACTATGTAAAGAAAAGATAAATTATGTATGTATACCTTACTACAAATCAGCAAATCACCTCACTTCTGGGCGTATTCTATGTATATTATACGTATATATTTACAATAATAAATATACCCCTTCAAATACATAAATGTGAAATGATAGCCGAGTTCAATATTATGATGTATGCCTTGATTGTTGACTTCTACGACAAAAGAGGTGAGATCTAAATGGGTGCCAAGTTCAATGGTCTGTCCTGAAATGTATTTATAACAATATAAAATATCATTTCTTCTTATAACTTAGGATAATATACTGTAGCCTAAGGTCTAACTTGGCTAGTTCTCATATACCAATTATTACTTTCGATTGCTAGTTACTACTAATAATAAAATAGGAACCGACAAGTAACATGTTTAGAACTTGCGAAGGCTACAATATATTTCGTATATGAAAACTAGCCAAGTCAGACCTTAGGCTACAATATATTATCCTAAGTTATAAGAACAAATGATATTTTATTTTATCTCGCAAGTCTCAATATATGAACCAATTTGATAGGTTTATGTGGAAGAGTTTTTGAGTTATGAGGGGGTAAAAAGTGATTCCAAATGGTTCGTGTAAATATACATACGGTGCAGGTCGCCAGTTCTCTTACTTAAACTCTGCTTTGACACGCTCCCACGTGTCTAGATATACGTTGTTTAGTACCCATATCAACAAGTATGAACAAAGCACAACCCTCCCCTATCTGTTCCCCTAGTGTCATCGAACTATAAGCAGAATTAATTTCTCTGGCGAGCTAGCAACAATTTTAATAAACTATCTAAAACAGTTAATATAGATCTATTTTATAATAAATTAAATCAACGAGACAACAACTAAGTGAGCCCTTCTTTATATAACAATTAATTATTATTGAAGATCATGTATATGTATATATTTGTATAAATTCACTATTTGTTACTGTACACTTGTTAATAATAATAATAATAATCTACAGGTATCATACCCAAACTCCTACATCATAGCCTGAAACAATTAGTTACATCATAGCCATCTTAAATTTGTGTAATAATTTCTCGAAATCGATGAAAATGATATAACACCAGTCACACCAGGCACACAATAAGTACACACACACTCACACATACATACACGCGCACACACACATACACACACACTGCACTTACTTGGTTTCGGCCCGTAAGTGTTAAATAGCTGAGAAAAAAATAAAGAATCATAATAATAATAATATTATTTGCCAAATGTAGGTAAACAATGTGTTATAAATATGTATATATATTAATGTTTAATGAAATAAAATTACTGTACTACGTCATCATACCGATAGTCATTAATCAATTGTCTTTACGTCAATGTATCAGTCAGGAAATCACCAATTTCAGTTAATTCATTTCATATTCTCTGTTAACTTTATAATGTGTTGTTGCCTTTATATGGAGTGATGTATTTTTTTAGAATTAGTCTGTTGTTATTTGTGAAAGCCAGTCAGTGGCGTAGTATGACGTTTATATTGATTTTATTTAAGTATAGTCAGCATTGGTTTTCTTTTAATAGATAAATTCAAATTCAAATTCAAATTCAAAAATCATTTATTCATGTAGGACATTTTAACCGCTTATGAACGTCAAATTTTTACATTCTAATTTTATTTTTTTTCCTACCGTCCAGTTCGGTATATAGATCCAATTGAGAAGAACTGGCACGAAACTCAATTGAATTACTTTTAAATATCACACGCTCTGCTTAGCTTCGGTTTAATTGTGTGTGATTTTCCGGGGTTATTATCATTTTTCTTATTTAAAATCAAATTATATAAATAAATCAATAAAAACTAAAACCAATCAGAGTAATCTATTATAAGTTCTATCCTATAAAAGATATGTTAAAATAATTAGATTAGTCATAAACTTACATCCACGAATAGTTTAGTAGATAACTACTATTCTTAAAGAACAGACGGACATAAACTAATGAACCAATTATCGCTCCGTATAACTCGAATTTCTTAATTAAACCGTCTAATTAAAGAGTCGAGATAGCATCGCTTTACTGCAGCTTCCGTTGTCTTACGCCCTTTGTACTCTCTACAAACCAAAACACACCTAATCGTTATATAAATACATACTGGAATTATTTGGCCTGAAATTCCTTTCAGGTTTGTAATACGGTAGTTGTTAAATGTAATGGAAAATGAGCTTTAGTGTGTGGAGATTGGGTGTGGTTTGGATTGGTGTTGGTAGGGTAGGCGTTCCGATTATCGGCAGCGCTGGCGCATGACGGCCGCCGCTGAGATCTGAGGCGCTTGCGATGTTGGGAAGTACTCAAGTGCCGAGATATTTATAGGGTAAGTAAGTGTAGGTGGGTGCTGCGTCACGGTTGCGTTCATATAAGTTTGTTTGTCTTTGTTTGTCCTGTCCGTTAATCTTCATTCGTATAAAAAATGCACTCTAACTCGCAAAACAAACACGTTTTTATTCAAGTGGTCGCGATTCCATTTACTGCTCGTAGTTTTGGTAGAGGAGCGCCATTTTTGTTGCCAGTCAGTTTTAAATACTTAGATAAGTACTTGCGTTTAAGTAAAAAACGTGTTAGTTCATGTAGGACCACACAAAATAGAAATATTTTTAGATTCAAGCGACCGTCGGGGATTGTGCATTGTTTCTTATATGTAGATAATTTTGGAGTGAGTTTGGATCGAGCAGCAATTAAAAACTTTGTATATATACCTATTTATAATAATAATATAATAACCTCAGGACAATTCACACAGCGCCATCTAGACCCAAGTTAAGCTAGCTGAAACTAGTGTTATGGGTACTAGACAACTGATACATATACATAGATATTTTTTTTTGTAAATACATACATATTATATATAGAAAACACCCAGACTGATACAAACAATCATACTCATGAATACAAATGTTTGTGCCGTGCGAGGAATCGAAACCGCGACCATAGGTCGTAAAGCGGTGTGCTAGACCGCTAGACCACCGAGGTCGTCAAAATTTATAGTATAATATATGTCAACACTATGTTGACAGCTGACAGTGCCTCTACAATGCATCTACCACAGCTATACTGTGTTTCTCTCCTATCTAAGATTACACTCGATCTCGTAGTATGCATAGGTACATGCGTATCACAGTTACTTGCTGCTCGCATTATTTTGTGTTGTGTATCTATTTGTTGCAGGTTGTTATGTATGTATATATATATATTTATATATGTCTATAAATATAATATTTATATTAGTGTATACAGTTTATATATGTAATATGTTATATTATTTATTATTAATTTGTCATTATTATTATTACGTTTTTTTCTCTTTCTTCTTGCTAATTGGTGGTTTGTATTCACACAATTAAACTTAAAAATGTAAAGTAATAATAAAATTATTTAAAAGAGCAACACGCAAGTTTTTGCTCGTTCTTCTTGTGATGATACAGCTTTCCGAATGAGCGGAAGATTAAAAAATGTAATGAATGTTCAAAAGTGCTTCAATGTAAGTTTATTTGAATAAATGATTTTCTATTCTATTCTATTCTCTTCTATACACCTTCCACCTTTTGTCTTTTCTCCTCCCAAAGGTTGCCTGGAAGAGATTGCATCAGCCAGCCTTTTGTACCCTCTTAAATTTAATTACTCTATTAATATAATTTTCCTGGTGCAATAAAGAGTATATAAATAAATAAATAAAAAAATACATTTTTTTCTCTATTTTTCATTTATATTTTAGAAGTACTAACATCGGGAGCATGCCTCTTACTAATATTGAAAATACGAAAATATGTTTGTTTGTTACCGACTAAATAACTAAACATAAATGTTATATTTATTTATTTGCTTTGAATCGCTTGCATTGTTCTTACAAATTAATGTTTATTTATTTATTTATTGAACGAATATTAATATTGTAAGACCTACTTGTAACATTGTATTCTGCAAATAAATAAATGTACAGTTCCATATTCAGCTATATTTTAAGTTTCAATATTTAAATTCACGTTAACATTAAATTTAACAAATGTTAACAATGAATGTCATATTTATTTAAATTGTTAAATGTACATAATTAAGTAATAATATGTATGTCCATCGTATCACTAGGATATTACCAGCGGTTATCTCTTATCACATAAAGAATGTATAAAGGAGCGAATAGTTGATGAAAGTTTATGCACATTATACTACTATACTATTCAAAATTCATAATTGTTCAAAATATAATAAGTCCGGAAGACGTCCACTGCTGAACAAAGGCCTCCTCTAAAGATTTCCAGGACGATTGGTCCTGAGTTGCTCGCATCCAACCTCTACCAGCGATATTCACCAGATCGTCGGTTTATACACACTGTTACTGGAGCGGGAACACAACTACTATTTTAATAAAAAACAAATACTAGTAAAAATGTGTATTCTTCCCAAAAGGGCTCACAGCGAGAAGTAACAAAACAATATTAGTTCGTCAAAAGTGACATATAAAAAGTAGATATATAAAAAGAATGGTAGACAAGCTGCCAGCAACACACACTATAAATATTAGCTGCTCTTACGGCTTACCGAATATTAGAAATAGAAATAGAGAAATAGAAATAATCTTTATTCAAATAAACTTAATATAAGCACTTTTGAATAGTCAAGTTTTTTTATTCTACCGCTTATACGGAATGCAGATTCATTTCAAGAAGAATAAGCAAGAAACTTGTGTGTTAAATAAATATTGATTTACTTATATTTAATTAACAACAAGGAACAGGCATGCGAGAATCACATAGAAACCGCTACGCACTTAATCTCTGTTCAATCAGATAACATTGTCAGCGCTATGAATTTTAAGTTAGATATATTTTCTACAAAAACATTATTATCATTTATAAATTCTTCAATTTTTAGCTGAACAACAAAGCAACTAAGTTGAAGAAATTAGTTTTAATAATTCTAAAAATAGCTTCTAAAAGAAGCTACCGTCGCCCTACCTCTCACGGTCGGCGGCGCGTAACGACGTCGGTGTTCCTGGCTGTCGCAGCATCACAACATCCGAGCGGCGTCCTCACCGGATCTCTGGTTCAGAGGAGTTTATTTCGGATTTGTGGAAAAATGCGGTGTTTTGTTACACGCGTCGTGGTCTGTCACTATTGTGATGCTGACGAATGTATCGCTTAATATATGTCAAGTTTATGACAACTTGTGATACTTTTACGTTGTTATGTTTTTAATTAAAATAGAAATAGATACAAATATTAGATCGTCCCTTTATTTTAATTAATGTGGGATAATTACCTCATTGCTAGCAATGTACCATGTCATATTGACCTCCATGCTGTTCCATGTCATATTGACCTCCATCCTTGCCCCATAGAAATCATCGTGATAAATTACTGGTAAAGATGCCAGGATGTCCTAAGTGACCAAAACCGAGCAGCCAGAATCGTTGGTAATGAACGTCCTTTTGACAGATTCGACCCATTGGCTCTGCGGCGAGATCTCTGTGTAATTTCTACCGCATATATCACGGGGAGTGTGAGGAATTGTTCGGATTAATACATGCTATTGAATTTCATCACCGTAGAATTTGACCACCAGCTAGAAATATTATCCTGATCATCTGGATGAATGGCGGTCCTCCGCATTGTGGAATCACCTTCCAGCAATGGTATTTCCGAACCGATACGATATTGAAACCTTCAAGAGAAGTGAGAGTGGCTGACTTGACCTCATGCTGATATTATCATCCGGCGGTAATCACTTACCAAGGTGAGCCGCAAGCCCGTTTGTCTCCAGTGGTATTGACTTGACCTCATGCTGATATTATCATCCGGCGGTAATCACTTACCATCAGGTGAGCCCCTGCTCGTTTGTCTCCAGTGGTATAAAAAAACTGACTTGACCTCATGCTGATATTATCATCCTCCACTGGTGCCCCGTCAGCGTAAATCGTTAGCGCAGGTAATGCACTATTTCATTATCATCTATTAGAAAAAATATGTCATCGACTTGAATAATAAGTTAACATTCATTTTTTTAATTCCGTAATATTTCAAGTTGGTTACGACCGAATATTTCCTGCCATAAGTGGACCATTATCCAACGCTACCGAAATTCCATAAAAGAACACGAAACGGAAATAAAATATCAATAATAAGCTCGTTTGGTCTGTATTATTTCGTGAAATATCGTGTGGATTCGATGCTCGGACGGGGCGCTGCGCGGGCGCAGGCGAAACACCTCCACAAAGTTAATAAATATTTATTAATGCGAAAGTAACTCTGTCTGTCTGTCGCGCTTTTACGCCATAACTACTGAACCGAATTAAATGAAATTTGGTACAAAGATAGTCTAGATCCTCAGCAACCCATTTTTTTAAATACCCTGATTTAAAAAGTAGCATGTAAAGGTTGAAAGTGTAGATTAAAGGTTGTTAGATCCTGAGAAGGACATAGGCTTTTTAATGCGAAAAAAGTGTTATAAGAGATTTTAAAGTGGAGACGAAAGGTTGTATGGAAATATCGTCATTTTTAAAGCTAAAAGTTTGAGACTTATTTTTTAAGCTATTGATTAAGTATAGATAAATATGACATATAAAATCTGTAAAAATTTAACCCTTAGGGGTAAAATAAAATAGGGAATGATAGTTTGTATGGAATATCTTCATTTTTTTTTTAAATATACTTAACTAAATACGTAAAAATGATTTTTTTCTTTGACTGCTTTGTGTTATTTATTAATTAATATAGTATTTTATGCGTATGGGTTTAATTTGTAAAATAGTTAGTTTAAATAAATAAATATGCTCTCCAAGGCCAGTATTCCTTGCGGACAGAGTCGCGTGCAGAGCTAGTGTATTATAAAATACATTGTTCTGTTTCAAGCCGTGAATTATACCCAATTGTGTGGCCATACAGCCTCCGATTGGTTTCATACACGCCACACACAGCATTGTTACTTTTTATCATTTGTATGGTTGCCATTTATTTATAGCTATTAATAATGTTTCTTTGTAAATAGCTATATTTTCTAACGCCCTTTTGTTTTGTAGCTTTTACCCACCTTGTAGCTGATTGATATTAGAGTAGGTCACCTCAGGTTCGATTACGGTGGACTGCATATCGATCCTGTGACCCTGGCGCTAGTACTGAGCGGAGGACACCGAGGGGTTTTAGCCGGTAGGAGTCCGGCAGTATCCGTAGGCCTCCCCCAGGGCGTGTGGATCTCCGTGACGGATTTCCCCTTGTAAATAAAAAAATAAAAAAAAGGTCATTTCAGTATCAGTATAATGCATCATATATAGTCAAGCATGAAATTTATAAAGTAAAAGATTTCAAATCAAATATCATTTATACATGTACATTTTAGCCGCTTATGAACATCAATCATTTTGTATTAATATTTTTTTCCTCACCGTTCAGTTCCGTAAGATTCAATTGAGAAGAAACGGTAAGAATATTTAATGTTTTTTTTTAAATAGCTATTTTATTTACATTTTAAACTTATATATGTGTCTATGTCTAAAATTAAGTAAAAATGCCGTGCATGAACTACTATTGCCATGCAATGTTCATGCATGACAATTTTATAATTTGAATGATTTTCTTAATAATCACAATTAAAATATCTCTATTATTTAAATATCATGAATAACTAGCTGGTAAACGTTGTTTTGCCATATAAATTAATAACGCTATAAAAAAATAGAGGTTGATGATAGGAGGGTGAAAATGTAGGATTGTATATATTTTTTTATGTTGTATCTACATGAATAAACAAACCGTCACCCCGCCGGAACGAGGTGGTGTGTGGGACTGAATAACTTCCGGGGTTCGCTGTCCCGGCAAACGTTGTTTTGCCATATAAATTAGCCATTTATAACGCATTTATGATATTAACAAGATTAGAATAAAATAGAAAAAAATAGGGGTATTTTGATGTAATAGGAAAAAATGATAGTTGGTTCCATATTTTGTATATATTTTTGTATGTCTATTTTTATTGACAAACCTTGAACTTTTTAATAACATAAATAATAATGATAAATTGTGTAACTAAAAATTTTGTCTAAAAATATATAAAAAATTAAAATCTATTGGTAGTATCCATCAATTTAAAACTGAAAGTGATTGATTAACGGTTGGTGATTTCCTGAATCATTGACGTAAAGACAATTGATTAATGACTATTATATGACGTAGTACAAGTAATTTTATTTTATTAAACATTAATTTATAATATTAACATATTTATAAAGATTACCTACATTTGGCAAGAATAATTATTATATTATTATTAAATTATTTATTTAAACAAACTTTAAGCACTTTTGAATAGTCATACCTACCTACGGACAGAAAGCTGTCACATCACAAGAAGTACGAGCAAGAATCTTGTGTATTGCTTTGAATAATTGTTGTAACTTTACGTTTTTAAGTTTAACTACCAACTAACATTAATTTTATTAGAGTCAAAATATTAAATCTATACATATAAATAAAATTGGAGTGTCTGTTTGTAATGTTGAAGTAACCGTTTTTTACTACATGCATATGAATATAAATACGGTACATACACAAAAGTAACATTTTTACAATTTTTGTCTGTCTGTTTGTTCCGGAATGGCTGAAATCTCTGAAATGGCTGGACCGATTTGGACGGGACTTTTATAGGCAGGTAACTGGTGTAATAAGGAGTAACTTAGGCTACTTTTCATCATTGCCTTGCCTTTATCCCATTATTTGTGGTCGGCGCAGTATGTCATTCTCTTCCACTGCTCTCTATCGGTCGTCATATCTGAACATACTCTTCTTTTATTCATATCATCTTTCACACAATCCATCCATCTTTTCTTAGGGCGTCCCCTCCCTTTACATCCATCCACATACATTAACTTAGGCTACTTTTATTTTAGAAAAAAAAAGTTATATTCCACGCGGACGAAGTCACGGGAACAACTATCTATAAAAAACTATATATAAAATAAAATTTAGAAATACACTTAAAGGAAACAGACTAAAAAGATGTCGCCACAATGAAAGCAGCAGATAATATTATAAGAAAAGAAAAAAGGTGTTTTTTTTCTTCAATAAAACGTGATGCTGGTCATATAAGGTATCGGCGACGGTTACCACTGACCATACGACGGACGGTCAGTTTGTTTACCATTCCAATTACATAAAAAAATATTTATTCAGATAGCTATTATTTGTTTAGTAGCTACAACCGTAAAACGTTTATACAGGTATTATGGAATGTTTAAGTTTGTCATCGATGTTTCTATCACCGGGGACTTAGTTAGCTTGAATGGATGGATGGTTTGAACAATCTTTCAGTTTTGCTCCGGATCACACACAATCCGTTTGTCCGGTAATTCGTTTGAAACTAACTTTCGTGAGATGATAGGAGAATAAACATGCGAGTCACGTGATCGTAAAATAACAATGAACCCTCAAGATGATACGCATCGTTTTTAAAAATATATAACACTAGCCACCCACCGCGGCTTCACACGGGTGTACATGTAATATATATATAAACCTTCCTCTTGAATCACTCTATCTATTAAAAAAAATCTGCATCAAAATCCGTTGCGTAGATTTAAAGATTTAAACATACATAGAGACAGACAGCGACAGCGACTTTGTTTTATACTATAACTAGCTGTCCCGGCAAACGTTGTTTTGCGATATACATTAATAACGCTATAAAAAAATAGGGGTTGGTGATAGAAGGGTGAAAAATTAAAGTTGTATGTATTTTTTAATGACACATAATAAAAAAAAATATGTCCCGGCAAAAGTTGTTTTCCAATATAAATTAATAACGCTTTAAAAACTAGGGGTTGGTGATAGAAGGGTGAAAATTTAGAGTTGTATGTATTTTTTAATGACACATAATAAAAAAATATAAATTAAAAAATTAGCAACAAATAATGTTAGGGATGGACAACCCTTATCACTTAGGGGTATGAAAAATAGATAGTATCGGCTACTACCTTTTCTTACCTCTAAGTTCTCAGACCTACTGAGTATGCATATAAAATTTCATAAAAATTGGTCAAGCAGCGTTTCAGAGGAATATGGTAATCGTTACCATATTCCTCTGAAACGGTTGAAAAACAATGTTCGTACATTGTGACACGAGAATTTTATATATAAGATGATAATGAACTTCCAAACAGATATGCTAATTAGAGTACAGTTCAGTAGCTATGCCAACGATGTGTCGGTACGTTTGTGTCTGGATTGAGTTGTTGGATCATTTCACTTGCGGTAATTTGTTCGCCGGCGCGGCGCCCGGACAAAGTCGCGGTTTTTACATAACATATTTGGGGTAATTAACAGAAATACGCCCTCTGGCGGAACTTCTGTAGCGTTTTTGTAGATCTTTTACTTTATATTCCCGTTAGCTACTGCATTTTTATTGATGTCATGTGTTACATTCTGGTTATGTTGTTTGAGGGTGAGTTTCATAGATACGTACGTTTTTTTTTATTTTTACACTTTGTTGCACCTACAGAAAAATATTACTTAATATATTTTATGGGGATATAAAAATTAACAAAATAAGATACCAAAGGATATACTGGAATTACCCTTAAATAAATTCAAAACATCTGTTAAATCATATCTACTTATTACTCACTAAACGATTACTTGAATGACGAGCGTGCATGGCAATAGTTGTTCATGCACGGGATTTTCATTTAATGTTAGACATAGACACCTATATATACATGGTAAATAAACTGGCTTTAAAAAAAAAGTAATTCAATTGAGTTTCTTGCCAGTTCTTCTCAATTGGATCTATATTTTTACATAACTGGACGGTAGGGAAAAAATTAAAAATATAATGTAAAAAAATTCACGTTCATAAGCGGCTAAAATGTCCTACTACATGAATAGATGATTTTTGAATTTGAATTTGTACATATATAATCATAAGTACATAAGGCCTTATGGCTAAACAATAGCATACAGACAACCTTTAGGTAGACGGTGAAGGTATATGAAAAATGTAGGTGGTAAATAACAACAAAACTAATATATAAATAACTAACTAATATACTAACTATATATAAATAACTTTATTTTTCTAAAATAGAAGCGTCTTTTTCTAAAGTAATTGTAGCCTAAGTTACTCCTTATTACATCACCTACCTGCCAATAAAAGTCCCGTCAAAATCGGTCCATCCATTTCAAAGATTAGCCGGAACAAACAGAGACAAAAATTTTTAATGTTATTTTGGTGTATGTACCGTTACATTCATATGCATGTAGTAAAAACAGTTATTTCAATATTACAAACAGACACTCCAATTTTATTTATATGTATAGGTAGATAATTTCTATATATATATAAAAGAAATGCTGTTCGTTCATCTCGCTAAAACTCGAGAACGGCTGAACCGATTTCGCTAATTTTAGTCTTGAAATATTCGTGGAAGTCCAGGTAAGGTTTAAGCAAAGATAAAATATAAAGAAATTGCATGTATAATAGTAAAAACAACAATTTTATTTTCCCATACAAACTGCTGATACATGTCAAACAGGGTTTGACAGAACTTTTGAGTTGACGTTGAGAAATTTATTGCGTAACTAAACTTCAAAAAACCTTTGACTTAATTTTTTGATTTAATTTTGAAACGGAACGGAGTCGCGGGATCAGCTAGTATTATACATAAACTAGCTTTTTTATCCCCTATGTTATCACCTTGGGGGTAGAGTTAATCAAAATACTTTCTTAGCAGATGCCTACGTCATAACATCTACTTGTATGCTAAATTTCAGCCCACGGGTTTTAGGAAGCAATAATATAATATTATGTACAAAAGTATAATAGCAGAACAAGAATAATAATGTCATATATATCTTATATATAAAATTCTCGTGTCACAGTTTTCGTTCCCATACTCCTCCGAAACGGCTTGAACGGGTCTGAGGATCGGCCAACATCTATTTTTCATCCCCCTAAATGTTAGGTGTAGTCCACCCCTAAATTTTTTTTTTATTTTAAAGGCAAAACAGCGTTGATCGGTTCAGCTAGTTTTTCTATATAAAACAATAGACAAAATATATAAATAATATACAAAGAGGTGCGTCGTGCACAGTCGCTATATTCACACCAATACAATGTAGGCACTTAGTAACTAATATTCAGTAATACTACGTAAGTAGGGTCTCATTTGAAAAGAAGCGTCTAGAAAAGAGTTCAGTTCACAGACGCTAAAAACTGAACGGAGTTTCTTGCCAAATTTGATTCTGAAATATCGATACCTATTTGGGACATATCGTAAGTGCTGTAATAAACCTACCTACATGAATATATACCTACATACATATTTTGATTTGATTACCGTCGCTACTGAATTACATAACGTATCACTATGTATGTGTCGACTGCACGCGATGATTACTCGATGCCAATGTTAAAACATGGCTTTTATCGTTGAATTATCACAAACGTAATTGAAAATTAAAATAACATGCTCGCCGCATCAAATTAACGAACATAAAAAATCAATTACAACGCGACATACACGGCGGTTACACAGACATACATACAAACTAGATTATTGATACATAGCTCCCACTGGCCGTGTTATGTGCACCCTACCTACTAGCGGGTTCGTTTCTCGGCTGTCGTCGCGCCGCCGCCCGAGCGCAGCCGACCGAATGGGAAAACAGACATTTCCAAAACACACAACCAATCCACATTGAACCCTATCAAGGATGAGTAAGGTTGAAAATGGATCGGTGAAATTTGAAGACGCATGAACACGCTTCAAATAGGACGCGACATGGAAAAAGGAAAGCGTTTGAAATGAAGCAAGGCGATTGGCCGATGCGCACCAATGGCGGCGGGGGGCGGGGCCGCGCACACATAGCAGATCCGAGACTGCGCCGGCGCACATGTCGCGGCCGTTCTGGCTGAGGTGAACGTGCGGGTTCGATCTCATGCAGTGTTCCGTCTTCGGGTTTCGTTGTGGGTTTAGTTGGGGTATGTGTGGTGTTTAGTGCCATGATGCTGGGCGGCATGGATGGCAAGGAGTATGGGGCGCTGCACGCCGCTGCAGCCGCCGCTGGCTACGCTATGGAAGCTGGTGAGTTTTTGCTTACTCTTCTTCATATCCTCACATCTCGCTTTTCATTACCAATTCAAACAGGGATCGATATTACGACGGCCTGAGCCGAGGTTCGAACCCCTAGCGGTGCCCTCACACTAAAGTCGTACCTATACGGCAGGCGGGAGTTTGCCTTCAGCCGCTCCATTAGTCCTTCCTTCGGTTTGGGGTGCCATCTGCACTCGCTCTATATCATCTGGTGACGCTGTAAAGGCCAGCTGCGGCTAACAGCATTAGAGTAGTCCGAAAAATTGCATTTTTTTGGACTACTCTAATGCTGTTGTTTTAAGTTGTCTTCTATAATGTCAATGACAAGAACCTACTGTAGGTACTGTACAGTATATCAGGTAAATAAAGTAACCAAACCATGGTCAAACCTTCAAGGGACTGTTAAAGAGTCAGGCTCCTCTGTTGTCAACAGTATATTAGGGATGTTATGGATATGAAATTTCTGATACGGATAGGTTTCGGATATAGGAATGTTTATTACACCGGATACGGATACGGATGCGGATATGAAATTATTTCGGATTATCCGTTAGTTTCGGATAATTTCAGTTACGGATATTATTTTTTTAAGGAATTTCAAAAGTAAAATACAAATGGTTACATAACGTGTCTCAATTACGCTCCGCCCCTATCCGATATAATCCGACACATTTATTTCGGATTCAGTTACGGTTACGGATATTTTTTCATATCCGATAGTTTCTGTTACGGTTACGGAGCTATTTAACATCACTGCAATATTACCAACCTACCTACAATGACCTACATAACAACTAGGTATTTTCTTAATTTCTAAATTATAAATATACGTTTTGATTCTACAAGTAGGTTCAATATTTTGAGTCCTAAATGCTCAGTGATGAATAGAAAATCATTTATTCAAATAAACTTAATTTAAGCACTTTTGAATAGTCATAACAAAATTATTTCTTTAATCTACCGCTCATTCAGAAAGCTGTCTCATCACAAGAAGAACGAGCAAGAAACTTGTGTGTTGCTCTTTTAAATAATCATTGTAATTTCACATTTTACATGTCGAAACGTGTGTATGATGAAAGTAATGGGTAGGCACTTAGACAACAAATAGAAATACAGTTGGTACTTGATATTAGAGTGTCTGATACAATATAGAGTCAGGCATAATCCACCAGACCCTCAGAACCAACCGTAGTAGGTAGGTAGGAATGTTTACTATAAATATTTACTTTTTTACTACCTATATTAAATTCAAAACAAAAATACTGGAACTCAAAAACTTATACGTCTTTAGTTTCGTTTTTTATTTTTAATACTTTTAGGTATATGGAAGTAAGGAATCACATATTCTCTCCTTGTATTGTATAAATAACTAGCTGTACCGGCAAACGTTGTTTTGCCTTAAAATAAAAAAAAATTAGGGGTGGACTAACCCTAACATTTAGGGGGATGAAAAATAGATGTTGGCCGATTCTCAGACCTACTCAATACGCTCACAATTTTTTTTAATATATATCTTTATTCATGTAGGTCTATTACAGACTTATGATATGTCAAATCTACCGTCAGTTTGAAATTATTACGAGATGAGAAGAACTGACAAGAAACTCAGCTCGTATTCTTTTCAAATTAATATTATACACGTTTACAATAATGCAGAGTCGTTTAAATTCAAATTTGGGAGAATAGAGTGACCACCAGCATATGCTATTGCAAAAGCAAATAGTCTAATCAGTGGTAGATATATTATTTATAGCCGAATTTCGACCACTGGGTTACCACTAGTTAGAATAGAATAGAAAAGAAAATAATTTATTCAAATAAACTTAATTTAAACACTTTTGAATAGTCATAACAATTTTTTTTATCTACCGCTCATTTGGAAAGCTGTCTCATCACAAGAAGAACCAGCAAGAAACTTGTGTGTTGCTCTTTTAAATAATCCTTGTAAGTTTACATTTACAAGTCGAAACGTGTGAATACAAACTACCAACCAGCACTAATTTATTAGGCTCAAATATAAAAACACAATTAGATTAAATCAGTCGTAATGATAAGAGCAGACCAGTCCCCACAAGCAGCGCGTTCACGAGTATGACGGATGAGCCAGCCATCATTGCATTCAACCTTATTGAAATAGGTATCGTAGATACTGCTGAAATGATTAGCTACCTACATACTATGATTATTATACCTACATATATAACTACTTGTATAGTAGATACATGTGGTCGTTTATCGGCAATTTACGTCACATCACTTGTAGTCGGTGGTGTGACAATTGTGACATTATCAATTTCATTAATAACATAGACCTAAAGTAAATAAACATTGTACTGATTACATTATATATTATTACTTGCTGTTCCGACAAACGTTGTTTTGCCATATAAATTAATAACGCTATAAAAATAGGGGTTTGTGATAGAATGGTGAAAATTTTGGATTGTATGTTTTGTGTTTTTTTAATGATACATAATAAAAAAATGTTTCATTCATAATTTAAGAGCTGTGCTCTTGTCGGTGGAGCTCCCGCCACCTTCCACGATCTTCCATCAGTCCTTTTAGCTGTTGATACGACACGACTCCAACTTTTTCTTTAACTTGCTTGATATAGCTGTGTCTCGGTCTTCCCCTTCCTCTCTTTCCATCTATTTTTCCTTCTATAATGTTGTTAATTAGTTCGTCGTGTCGTATCAAGTGCCCCAACATTTTCCCCCGCCTATTCTCAATAATATCTATGATCTGTCTCTTTTCTCTAATCCTCTCAAGCACTACATCAATTTCTTCAAAAAAATGTAAATAAAAAAATTTGCCCACAATTGAACAAAATAGGGTTAGGGGTGGACAACCCTTATCACTTTATTAATTTTGTGTTAACGCATTTTAAATTAAACCCACACATTATTTCTGAATAACTTATAAAAATGGGTAATAAAAATATTAATTTCCAAAAGTGCCACAACGCTATTCAAAAAATGCAATAACATGGCTACTTCGGAAATGTCAAATTTGACAACAGACTATAGTCCAGGAGAGAATACGTTATCGTATCGTATCGTATCGTATCGAGAATCGAATACAGTGCGTTAAATCGTATTATATCATAAGTAGTATCATTTATTACATGTATATATTGTATAACAACAAGTTAAGTTACATAACAACCATTTAGTAAATATGAATTCTAAAACAACAGATCCATAACACTGACAATATTATCTGATTACACTAATAATGAGTGCGTAGCGATTTCTATGTTGATTATCACATGCCTCTACTTTTTATACTGTAATTATTTATATAAAAAAACATCTATTAAAAAGAGCAACACACAAGTTTCTTGCTCATTCTTCTTGTGATGAATCTGCATTCCGAATGAGTGGTAAAATCAAGATATGACTATTCAAAAGTGCTTATAATGAGTTTATTTGAATAATGATTATTTCTATTTCTATTTCTAACAGCAAAGAAATAGTCATCGCCATTTTGTTCCGTGAAACTTTTCATGATGTCATATTTTCTATATATTTTTAATAATAATCTAATATATTTTTTTTATGTAACTGTATTTCAGTTACAATCCATCAGCCTATTATCAAAATCAACTTTATTCGTGTAGGTAAGTAGGTCTATTTCAAATTCTCATATATGTCAAATCTATCGTCAGTTCGGAGTGCTATCGAGAAAAGAAAGAACTGACAAAAACCTCGGCTCTTATTAGAATAGAATAGAATAGAAAATCATTTATTCAAATAAAGTTACATTGAAGCACTTTTGAATAGTCATTACATTTTTTTTAATCTACCGCTCATTCGGAAAGCTGTCTCATCACAAGAAGTACGAGTAAAATAAGCTTTTTTCTTTGTAAAAAAGCTTATTATAAAATTGAAGAATTTATAAATGATAATAATGTTTTTGTAGAAAATATCTAACTTAAAATTCATAGCGCTGACAATGTTATCTGATTGAACAGAGATTAAGTGCGTAGCGGTTTCTATGTTGATTGTCGCATGCCTAATACTTGTTGTTAATTAAATATAAGTAAATCAATATTTATTTAAAAGAGCAACATACAAGTTTCTTGCTCATTCTTCTTGTGATGAATCTGCATTCCGAATGAGCGGTAGAATAAAAAAAATTGACTATTCAAAAATGCTTATATTAAGTTTATTTGAATAAAGATTATTTCTATTTCCTCAAATACATTAATCACACGAGTACAAACTCCCTAAGTCCCATATAACTATATACCTGTAGTTACACAATCGGCATAGATACAGCGGTTGTTCTTGGAAAGTATGTCCCAATACTTTCCAACAGTTGTGGCCCAAATGAGATGACTCAAATGAGCGGCATCCAAGAAGTAGGTGAACAAAGGAAGGCAGGTGGACGGTCACTCTAGTTTTAGTCACGAACGCGAATAAGTTAATTTAGTATAAGACGAATCAATCGGTATTCCTAAATTGTAAGTTAGAATTTAAATAAATAAATTAAATGAACTTTCTTTGCTTTTAAAAAACCCATCACCGTCAGAACGTAATTCATTTGTAAATACATACATAATAAAAAAAGAAAATACGCAAAGCTATACAAACAATCACACTTTTTTTTTCTCTTTATTTATTTAGGAGCTTAGCACAATAGTGAGCATGTTGGCTTCGTGTTGACTACTTATCTTATCAATTACATAACATCTAAACTTTAAATTACTATAAAACAAATCTTACCTACTTTTATCTACAAATTTGTAAATTAATACTGATTGTTTTGATACAGGTTCTGATAAAATACATTGAAAGATTCCTAAATTAATTTTGTTTAAATTTATTTTTTTCAGTAAGATTTGCCTTTCAGTGTTGTTCTTGACGCATTCCATCAACAAATGTTGAACATCATCAATACCACAAGTTTGATAGAAATAGAAATAGAAATAGAAATAATCTCTATTCAAATAAACTCATTAAAAGCACTTTTGAATAGTCATATTTTGA